TAAGCGAAAGAAAAAAGAGTAGAAACCCATGAAGGCAATCGAACTGATAGTACGACTGGTTACGAAAAAGGTTATCGGCATGTAAAATCGATTAAATGAAATGAAACTTACGAATAAAATGAGGTATCACAAAAAGGATTGAACGCAAGGTTGCACATTGCTTGCGGGCCGAAGCTGCAGCCTAGAATACGTACGCAATTACGGACGAACTACTACCACAACATAGGTTGCTAAAGGTTCACTTGCCAGACCACAGAGTCTCCCTTGACTCTATTTATGATGGTTTCTGGGGTTTCCGGAAGTGTCCGTCGGTGAACTACTACGCGTTCTAGAAGGGTTCTCCTTCCCGTTCCCTACCTCCGGAGCATGGCCATACGTTTCGACTCTAACCAGAGGCTTCCTCGTGATTGCTGGTGCCACTCCAGGTCCACGAGTAAGAAACGTTGGTCACAAGGGTGGAAAAGGCAATACTCTAGTAGAGCTTCCTACGTAGCCTTCTGTGCAATGGCTTGGAACTAATCCTATTATGAAATATTGTGAGCCTCAAGGTCGTTTGAAAAAAAGGGGGAGGGGGTACTGGGTACGGTGCGGGCCGGTTCGATCACTAAGGTTCAGCGGATTGCTAACAATCGCTCAACCTCGGACCCGATGCACCATGTCGTGAATATCGTAACTAATGGAGATTCGCCGGTTAATAATGAATAAGAAATGGCATGGAAAATGACCATAGGGAACTTCAAGAAACTCACATCAAGTTGTCAATTTAATTATGCCTTGCAACAATAATATGAACAAAACAAAATAAACCCGTGACCTAGTCTTAAGGGACGAACCTCACCGCCTCACTAGGGGGCGCAGCCGATCCTCACCCTCAAGGCGTACCACAGAGTGGCATCCATAGGCGTATGCCATAATGGGACACGTCCTGGCAGCGGCCCTGAGTTGCCTTTCTTCGAATCCTGGCTCCTACGCAGATCTTCGGCTCTGCATGCTTAGACGGTACGACCGAGTTGACAGAAAGCAAAGCAAGCTTTGACGATAGTAAGAAAAAGGGTCCTTCTCGGCAGACGAGCGCATAAGGTAAGTGCGGATTTTAGGCCATCCGTCGTTGGTGCGGCATTTCCCGTAGTACTCTAGCGGCGCGCGTTGAGACCCCACCAGGCAATCTTGTGATCTGAGGTCGCGGGAACCGCGACAAAGTGTACCCGTGAATGTAATGTCGCATCCATACCTTTCCGGCACTGACGATAGAAGAAACCTCGAACATAATTGTAAATTTATCGGTCTCTTTCGGCAACCATCCTTTAGATCAAGAGGTACTAGCGTATTTGGGGGAAGGGGGGGGGGACCACGCGGCTCGCGGTTCGTTAAAGGGACTTTTGATGGCGACATCGCGGCGCGACGTACATAGTCAAAGGTCGTTCACCGCGCGTTTATTGATTGAAAATGTAGTCCTGATGTGATTCGAATTCGATGTATGCAATGCCTAATGTGTATAAATATTCTTCTATTCATTTGTGTTCTGTCATTATGTGTCAATACGATGCCATTGCCGTTGTCATTCGTAATCGATGACGCTATTGATTGTTTTTTGGCACGGTTTGGTGCAGATGTCGTTTCTCAATAACGATGAATTATAACAGAAAATGGTTTTGTGGAGAGCTGCCGGCATTAACTATGTGCGATATTCGCAAATTGCTGCCCAGGTGACGAGACTGTGTTCAAAGGTGGGTTAGTAGTCGTGACTCTTCAAAGGTTAGATAGGATTGGAGACGGTCAAGACAATCGTGGTTTGCCGCTCCGTCGCGCGTGTTGTTCAGCGCGGTGCAAGCGCAACGAATTACGAGTGTCTTGTCACATGTGCGGATAGGTATGCAGCGTTTTATCTTTATAGGCCGCACATACTACCTCTCTAAGGTAAGAATTGACAAAGTCAAGAAATCACGAGGAAGAATGTATTACTATTGATCTAAAGAATGGTAGAGTTGAAAAGTGCCGAAAGAGATCGATAAATGTGCAATCCTGTTCGAGGTTTCTTCTTCCCGTTCGAAGGTAAGCGAAGCAGCAGCAGGGCTCAGAATCAGGGTGAGTCCCATCGATCGGTCGTACTTGATCGTTGAGGTGGGAGAGGGGTGCCATGTGGCTTCAAGAGAAATTATTTCGAGTTGCAAGAATATTTTTTCCGGCTTTTAACCTTGGAAGTCTGAGAAACTTTTCTTTTGGAACTTGGAAAAGTTGGGAGTGGTGGGCATTTGGGGTGGGAAGGGGATGCTGTGAAGGATGGGGAACAAAAGGGGGGGGGGGCGTACTGGAAAAAATTTGGGTCGTGTTGACAACCCCAATTCATTCATAGATGCTATACCTTGGGTAGGTTGTAGAAGAATATCTGCTCATTCTCAGCAGTTCTTTTCAACAATCGTTCCCGCATATGACTTAAGATGATGGCGGTAATTAAGCATTCATGCAGAAAAAGCGCAGTTAGGTTTTCTTGATAGTGGTAATCGTCTGTTCCCGCACATATGCTCACTCAGATGTATTGAAACGGAGTGTACTCGATCATTGTGCAACAGTTTGTCAGCTTTTTTCCTATATTGACGTCAATGGCTGTGACGGGTTTCGATAAACGAGCGAGGTAGCAGGCGGGGCGGAGAGGGAATGTATTCCTGCAATTACTGCTTTGCAGGAGTTATAGGGTGTGAATGCGTATCATCTAAAACATCGAAGGGGCAATCCCCAATGTACAGCGTTATCGTTGCGGATGCTGGGGCGTGTCGGGGGACGGAGTGTGTCGCGGCGCAATGTTTTCCACCAGTTATTGTAGCTATCCCCTCTTCAACAGTTGGAGGATAACGGGCTGGCTCTGCGCCAAACCTGGTTCCTAGTGGATGCTCTGTTTGACCTCACTGTTTCTTTACATGTTAGAGGTAGTGAATACAAAAAAAACTGATCACTTATAATTCCAAAACTTGAGAAATCCCGTTTTTTTTCAGAAGAAGGTGGAAGTCACGCCAAGGAAGTACGGTGATGGACCCACTCTGAAAATAGCCGTTTGGGAAAATGGGAAGCCTGTCGAGAAGAAATGAACACGCTCAAAATTTGAGATCGTCGCAGTAGAGATCTGTCCAGGACCACGGCAGATGATAGGAATAAAAATGTTTTTTTTTGTTCTTGGTTTTTTTGTTCTCAAAATGCTCATGTCATGAGGAGAACAAATTAAACGAGGGCAAGCCTCTATTGAAGTGACAGCAACCCTGTGTTAAAAACGGACTTGGAACTTTCATGCATCTAGACCCTTGATACTCGCCTGTACCCCTAATACTGCATTCTGGAAGGCGCTAAATTTCACGCGATGGTCAAATACCTGCATGGATTTAGTCCAAGCATATGTTATGAGGTGGCTTGGGAGTATGTTCACTCATAGAAAGCGTGAGACTTGAGAATTGGGTGTAGTTCAACACATCCTAGCAAGTTGTCCGGCTGGGAGGGGGTTGCACATTCCCTAGTTCCTTGTGTTACTTCATATTAACTAACAGGTCCCACTTTGGTGAGACCTGTAGCAACCCGTGATGCTGCAAAATTGTTGATTGAGCCACTTTGGCTACTGGAATTCGCAGGTCTTCACAATGTGGCCTATATAAGCTTATTGTTAGCTTAATATGCCATGTGATGCCCCTATCGAGCCAAACTGGCCCTCCGAATTGCTGCAAAGGCGACGAAAGAGCCATTGCGAGTGAGGTCACCTACCTTTCATCGGCAAGAGGGACTCAATATTTGTTCGCGTGAACGCACAGTGTGATCAGGCCGTCGACGTCGAGCCAAAGGAGTCATGCCCGAGAAACTGCGGAACGGCGCAGCGAGGGGGGTGGGGAGAAGATAGCATTGTGCCCTATTCCTATCCACAGCTGTCTATCGCCCATAAGTGACAACCTTATCAGCCAGGTCTAGTTTTATGAGCTCTTTTGTCTATTGAACGGGTCGATGACTCGCGTACTCCTGGAAATTGAATGCGACCAAAATTTCGATCGAAATTCCCCTCCACCAGGCTCCTCCCCAGTCCGTGGATTTGATCTTGCGGAGAGTTCGTACTCCCAAGAGTAGTTTGCCCTGAACCCAAATATTCTGATATTTGATTTTAAGGAATCGCTCGCACCTGCTAGCGCGGACACTAGGACGATATTCTTATTCTTAGCAATGTAATGATGTGTAGCCTGCGTGCAGGATCATGTACGATCACGGTCATGGCAGCAAAATTTTCATAAACTATTCACCACATAGCGGCAATCCTACTCAAAAGGTAATAATCAGAACAAAACAGCATCAGGATTTGATGTACCTAAAAACCGCGAAAACCTATAGTGCATAAGAAGAGTACAAAGCTTAAAGGACAAACTGCCACAGTCACCTACCGAGTGGCCGTTACTTGCCAATGATGCCGAAGTAGAAAATTGGACTGCCAGCTGCCTTACGAACGTAGCCACTCTTGCGTCACCAGACAGCCACGGAAATGGGCAGGCACGGGGTAATTGAATACCTTTGGGCCGTCTGTCACATAACTAGGGTGCAGGCCAATCGCTGACTGTGAAACACATGCGCAGTCGCTGAGGAGGGGATCGTATTCGGTCGTTGCTGGGAGAGGGAACTTCTATACGACCACTATTTCCAATAGTTGAAAATAGTAGTTGGTTTCTGACGACCTCCTTCCCCTCCCGCTCGACGAAAAGTTTTCGGGTGAAAGAACTGGAAAACGTGGAAATTTTCGGAAAAACAGGAAGTTGGGAACTTGTAGGAAAGTGGTAGGTAGGTGTTGGAGAAGGGGGAGGGATCGTTCCGAGGCCCCTTCGGTCGTACTGACACCACCATTTCACGCATCACGATGCGTATCCTTGTTCCCACCTCCCACCCACGAGGTGCTGCAGTACTTGCGTCGATAAGAGGTCCCGCAGCGAAAGACGCACTTAGCGGTAGAGAACAACCACAAGTGAGAAGGCGCAGACAAGGAGTCCGTGCGGGTATAGTCAGGCGCGTGGCTGGTCGTGCCACATCGCGGGCGAAGTAAGGGGACGCTCACGGATATCACCCTCCCAATACTTTTGAGCGGAGAAAGTGACACCTTCTAAGTTGACGAGCACATTGAAACAACTTCCAGCGTTACAGTGAACTGGACAATTACTCAAGCTCATAACTTGGACCCGTTGCAACATCTCACTGGAAGCTCGACAAGAATGAAAAATCCATGAGCATCAGAAAAATTAAGTAAAGTCCAGCTTCTCTCTTCGTGACAATGAAACGTCAGGCCATTAATGAAGAGTTTCAGCTAGCAACCTCGAAATAACAGAAAAAGTTATTGAATCTCATTAGAACAATAAAAACATCA